AATTGGCCTCGGCCCATCGATCCAGCCTTACTTGATGGTAAGGAAGTAAAAGGTAAATGAGAGATGCCAAAGGGATAGAATGTATTTAGAAATTAAGACAGTTATCATGGCTGTTACATTAGATTAACGTGCTTACCAGTAAGGTAAACACTTCAAGTATCATGGCATGAAGTGTTTATAAGTTTGTATTTTTTAACTGTATTCATTAATGGTGATCAGAGAGCAGAGTTTCACAAACCATCCTGGGCAGGAAATTGCCATACTCTGCAGTGGATGCTGTTAGAGGAATCTTCAGGTAAACAGTTGCTATGTTACTGGAGGTCAGCAGTGACTGTAACGTTAAAAGTATTTCAAAAGGACATTACAGTTGGTGTCATGATTATAAATTTATAGTAAGTATATAATGTTTCTAAAGCATTTTGCTTTTTCTTTTTGAAATTGATAGAAATGGTCTTCACACCTTTATCAAATTCACCTGCAACATTGACCCTTCAGAAGGTGCTGCATCTAATAGTTTGATTCTTTGTAAAATGTTTTTGAAAGTCAAAGCACTGTGGAATTAAAAAAACACTCTTTATTATTGATGGGGATATAGAGGGATCCTGCACAGAACAGAAGATGCAAGGGACCAAATGTAGCATTGATACTTCCTTTCTTATTCTGGCAACAGTTATTCCAACAGATTCTAGTTGTGAGAATGGCTTTTATACAGTGATATTGCCAACTGTGGCTTGGGAAAAAAGATGTCTCCTAGCCTTATATCTCCTAGCTGCTTCCCAGAACCCACATTTCCTGAAAGTATCATTTGAAGAGTTGGCCCAAAGGCTACTGAAATTGCTGAGTTTGGAGAGCTGCGTCAATTTCGTGATGAGCAGTGTCAACATACAATCTTATTGTATGTACATTCTCAAGTTGAAGAGCATTCTCAATTTCATCCTATTATGAATTATGAACGCAAGAGCAAATAAATTTACAGGATAGGTGAACAACTCAGCCTTAGAATGGAAGGCTTATCAGTAGACCACAAAGCAATTCACAGAACAGCTATGGAAAAAACAGGAGAGACCACATGCTGGTGAATGGTTCACCAGAGAGAAAGAGCACTATGGAAGGAAATGCTGCTGTTCCGCCTACCCTGAAAGGTTTGTGGCTGCTAGTGGTGGTGGGGTGGAGGAAGTGGAATTTTATCCTGGCTGAAAAAACTCTTTGCTAGTTATGAAAAACAGATATAGGAATAGCATTTCACACCCCAAGAAATCTCTAACAAGTGTAAGTGAGAACCTGAGGACTTCTTGATACCTTGATTGCCAGAAGTCTCTCTCTAGAATTGTGTAAGGTAAAAGAACAGGAGTGCTGAAGGAAATGCAAAGGAAGAAGGAAAACTTCTAAAGCTGAAGAGGGAGAGGAGAGTGAAGCACTTTAACCAACGTAAGGTGGAAAAAGACGAGCAACTGGGCAAGTGTATACATGTTCTGAAAGGTCATAAATTAGCTTTGTTTTGTCTTGATATGTTCTTTGCTAAACAAAGGTGAGATGCAGAACCACTGTTTTTGTTTAGTGTAAATCATTACAGATCCACTTAAGACAGGCGGAAGTCTGGCATAAAAAAAAACGTTTCCTATGGTGACTAAATGGACTCTTGTGGTGCAGGCTACAATTCTGAACTAAAATTTACTGTAGTTTTTAAAAAGAAAGCAATCACATTATTGTCTATGGAACACTTAAGGTGTCTCTATTTAGCATCTTCAGGATTGCATATTTGTTGACTTAGTGTTTCAAAGGTGTTAAATGAAAAAGTAGTTGATGTAATTGACCTATAAAAAAAGCCAATAGCTTCAATTATAAATGCAGATGGAAGAAACTGCAATAAATTATAGATGTTAAACATGGAAAAAGAGCACTTAGGCTGTTCAGTCTTTCTGCACGTAAGGAGTATTCTTTACAGGGAAGGAACCACACAGAATCCATAACAGATGCTATGCCAGTGATCCATAAAGCTGCAACCATTTAGCAAAATTTTGCTTTTTCTTCCTTAATGTAGGCAAGCAAAACTTTTGGGTTCCCAGTAATTTTTTCCAGTCACAACTGTAATTACATAAGGGATTTTGGTCCTTTAAAGATAAAGATAGATAAGCAGATATTCTTGCGACTGGTCAAACGAGTGGCTTGCACTTAAATAGCTGTGATTCATTGTAAGACCAGGTGCTGTCCTATTGTTTACTCAAATGCATAGATGTCTTTCCAATTTTTGCATAATTACAAGCATTTAGGTTTATCTCCATACATTTTCAAATAGGAGAATATTTGTAGTAGGACTAGTTGGTACAAATGGGCTAACCTAGTGCTAACCTAGTGCTTCAGATTTTGAATAGGATTTTTCCACAAATGATTTTGATCCAGTTCAGGAACTGAGGGCAGGCAATGTTTTTGTGCTGTTCGTGCTCCCTCTACTGTTTTTTTGAAAGCATGGAACGGGAGAATACAGCTGGCTAACGTACTTGTCTGTGTGAAAAGTGGACTTGATGGAAGAATAGACTAAAAGTCAAAAAGATTGAGTGGAGAACTGAATCTCTGAGCCGGGATTTTAATTCATCTTCCCGACTCCATTATTTGTAATGTACTCTTTAATTAGATCATCTACAATTTTCAACAGAGCTTTGGTCTTCTGAGATGGGTAACTGTTATTTAGTGTACTTGATCTGTTGTGGAAATTAAAAGCCACTTAAGAAATGCAGTGGTACTCTGGAAATAGAAAAAGGTTTTAAGAGTAAGCAATCTCAGTTTTAGTGTCCCCTGTCTTCCCAGTCTTTGAATGTTTTGTAACTTTACTGGCAAGGTTACAAGGAACATAGGGATAAAAATAGTATTTAATGAAAACCAAATGTTATATTACAGGCAGTCCTATGGCATCCAAATATTAAAAATACAATTTAGAAAAGTAAAACTATGAAATATAAATATGTAAACTGATAACAAGACGCATGTATATACATACACACACACATAATTATTTTGTTTAAAATAAGATAACAGGGATATAGTAGCATATTCTGAATCTCTGCAAGTTTATGCTGAGCCACAAGATGAACGTTAACACGCACTAAAAAGGGGGTGAGAAGCTGTAAGGAGTGGATAATGTTGGTCTTGTTAAAAAGAATATTGGCAAAAATGCTATCGGGAAAGTAAGCCTCCGTTTCATTAATTACATTAAATTCCTGGAATACTAATATAGAAAACTTCCATTATTGCTCAGAAAAAAATAACATCCTTATTTTCTGGCTAGAAACAAAAATGTAATAGTTTTATGCAATTGTTCGTATTGCTTGATAAAATTGTTTTTAATCTATTGTAAAACTGTTTGTATAGTTATTTATTATAGTTATTGTTATTTGTATAGTCAGTAAGAAGAATTAGACTAATATTTACTCAAGGTGATTAAAAATATTTTAGAAAAGTTTATAAACAAAATATAAAATCAAAATGGTGAAGAAATTATTCAAAAATACTGGATTTTTCACTTATTTTAGAATGTACTACTCTACAGAATGTGATAAAGGGTCTAACACAAACCATTGAAAACCTGTGTAACGTAAAAGGTAAAAGCAAAAATGTTCTTCTATATACTGTACTGTAATTTAGAATGAGCAGGCATTTAAATTTTTTGTTTGTATTTACTGTTTCGTTTCAGAGAGAGAAACTCACTGGCAGCCAAACAGAAAGGAAAAAAAATGTATCTAAAATCAATCCTGTGCAAATTTTGGTGGTCTATATGCTTAATAAATGTCTACTGCTAGTATCCTACTTAGAATCCACATGTAAAAGAAGTTCTGTCTCAGTGAGGGTTTTTTAGTCAATAGCTGGGCTTAAAATTTATTTCAGCATACCACAGGCAATTTTACAAAAAGTGAGAAAGTATCATTCAACTGTTGGACTATTAAAGTGTTTATGCATAGTTTTTATCGCTTTGTTAAACCAAAGAGTCTTAATCCTCAGTGTAATGTTATTAAAATTTAGCAATTACTCATTGCTATTTAAAAAAAAAAAAATATAAATATTTGCTATATCTTTATACCACAGTTTAGCTGTACACCATGTAGTTAATTTTATACCCATTGTGTGTTCAAGGCATATTAGCATAAATATTAATAAACCTCTAAAACTTGGAAGTATATGGCTGCTTTTAATACTCAAAGTGACTTTTAATAATCAAAAAAAGCATTATCTGCTTTTTCTAAATTCTCTTTTTGAGATACTACTTTCTAGCTTTTGGGAAACAAGTACTTAAAAAGTTGCATCTCCTAATTCAAAACTGTAGTAGCCATGGTAATAATCTTCTATTTTCTGAGCTGAAGAACTTTGCATCTAGATTTTCTTGAATGCATCAGTTATCAGAAGGCTGAAGACTGTTCAAAGTAGTAGGCAAATATTATGATTAAACTGTGAATTTTCTTGTTAAAAAAATTGAGACTGAGATTATATAGTTCTGTAAATTATGATTATCATGTCTACAAAAAAAGTTTCTTAAAGTTCAGAGAAGTAAAAAAATGAAAGTAATATCCTTATTCTGCTTTCATGCTAATAATACTGTCAAAATGTACTTTCTAGTGTATTATATAGTTTTTTATTTACATAGATGAAAATGATAGTCTGAAGGGTACCATTCACATCTTGGAAGAAAAATTAAAGGCTTGTGAACAGGTACGTCACAAATGATCATTCTTTAGGTAGAGGAATAATATTTTATCTCTGTTGTAATATTCATATATCTTTATATTCTCAGGTTTGCTACTGATAACCACTATTGTTGCACTTTTCCTAATGTTTATCATCATGTGTAAAAAGAGAAGAGTTGTTCTCATGACATCAATATGAGAATGTGTTAGAGGGACCCCTAGAAGGGCTCGGGGTTACTGGTGGTGAAAAGCTGGACATGAGTCAGCAATGTGCGCTCGCAGCCCAGAAGGCCAACCGTATCCTGGGCTGCATCAAAAGAAGGGTGGCCAGCAGGACGAGGGAGGTGATTCTGCCCCTCTACTCTGCTCTGGTGAGACCCCACCTGCAGTACTGCATCCAGCTCTGGAGTCCTCAGCCCAGGAAAGACATGGACCTGTTGGATCGAGTCCAGAGGAGGGCCACAAAAATGATCAGGGGGATGGAATGCCTCTCCTTATGAAGAAAGGCTGAGAGAGTTGGGGTTATTCAGCCTGGAGAAGAGAAGGCTTTGGGGAGACCTTACTGTGGCCTATCAAAACTTAAAGGGGGCTTATAAGAAAGATGGTGGCAAACTTTTTAGCAGGGCCTGTTGTGACAGGACAAGGGGGAATGGTTTTAAACTAAAAGAGGGTAGATTTAGACTAGATATAAGGAGGAAATTTTTTACGAGGGTGGTGAAACACTGGCACAGGTTGCGCAGAGAGGTGGTAGAGGCCCCATCCCTGAAAACATTCAAGGCCAGGTTGGACGGGCTCTGAGCAACCTGATCTAGTTGAAGATGTTCCTGCTCATGGCAGGGCAGTTGGACTAGATGACCTTTAAAGGTCCCTTCCAACCCATACTATTCTATGAACTGTTCTATGATTCTAAAACTAAACTTTTATACCAATAGAGCTGTTATCTTGACAGTTTGAGAATAAAATATGGGCATGGTGGAACTTCCTAGTGTTGTTCTGAAGGCACTTACTTGACTATGTCCATATATACTATTACCAGCAACCAGTAACTGCCTTTGTGAGTGCCTCCAAGCGCTGCTCTGGTGAGTGGCTACTTACCTTGTCAGAAGGCTCTGACAAGAGCTTTGGAGTAAGTACCTCTACACTAGCAGCTACAGCCAATTCCTTGATAATTCTGAAGTACTTACTGGAGCAAACCTATAGTAGGCGTACCTGAGTACCAGTGCCACCAGCATCGCTACTGCTAACACCACTGATGTTCCTACTGCTGCCAGCATGAAGTTGTGGAAAACTTCGTAAAAGCAATATTAACAAAATTCATACTTTAAACACAGTTTTTGTTATACAATCTTACAGTCAAAAATCCACAATAGTAAAACTGTAGTCACTTAACTAACTGCAGCACTGTATCAGATCCTGGATTGGGGAAAGGAATATTACCTCTCCATTTGCCTGTTCTCCTAATAAGTATAATTTGCAATTTTATATTAACTGATAGCTGCAATACAATGAAATCTGCTACATTTTTCAGCTGTGGACTTCAGCCAGATCGTGGAAGAAGTAATTGGGCATTTTGAATATACTAGATCGAGGATAAAACAAGTACTGAATTATAGAATACTGTACATTTTGACGTGAATGTTGTGCTTTGCAGAACGTTAAGAGCACAGACACCTCAAGATATTTATGAAGCTTTTTACATTTGCAGGAATATAAAGATCAGATTGAGAAACTTATGACAGAAATTAAAAACAAAGAGGAAGACCACAAATTAGAAATAACACAGTTGAATTGCGATATAAGAAAAAAATGTAAGTTCTCTGAAGACTGAATGCTGTAGCATTGGGTAAAACACCTGCAAGAGCTGTACTTCATCTAGGATAAGTACAAGTACAAGTTCCACTTCCAAGTGGAAACATATGAAAACTAGAAGTGGACAGTGTTTAACTGAATTTTATCTTTGCTCAAGAGAGTAGACAGTGGCAATGAGGCAATAGTACAGCAGCACAGGATGAGCAGAAATTCCCAAACAGGTAGAACAGACACTGGGAACTTGGACCTAAAAATCTAAAAGAATGAAATTTGGGGTTAAGTATTCACTGGAATATTGCTTTTAACTATAAGCTAGACTGCTGTTAGAGTGTTCCAGCTACGCTCAGGAGAGTAGGACATTATTTTCACAAATAAATAATACTGCAATGAGAAAAAACTGATTTCAGTATTAATTTTTTTCATTACCGGAATAGCCTTGAAGAGTAGGATTTTTTGGTCATCCACTTGGCTGAAAAAAGCCAGACAACTCTTTGTAAAATATGATGCTACTTTAAAGAGACTCCATCTTTCTGGGATGGGACAGGGTGGTTTTCACATAATTTTAAAGTATGTTTTTTGCTTGAATGAAATTGTTTTCCCATGAAATACTGACCTGCAGTTCAAAAAAGTTTTAATATTTGGGAAATGATGTTATTTTTCCATCTAAACACCTTGTATAATCATCGTATTTGGTGTTACTGTGTTACTAGTTGAAATAAAAGAAGTGGAGTATAGAGAACAGAGAGAGAAAAAAGAACTGGAAATATTAGAGCTAACTAGACAGCTGAAAATTCAAAATGAAGAGAAGCAGAATGAAATAATTAAACTGCAGATAGAGGTATGCATTACAAAGCTGAGTTAAAGATCAGTTGGGCATTCGGTAAACTTAGAAGAGACTGTGTGGTGAAAAGCATTAATTAGTACTTAACAAAGTAATATGATGGAACCTAGGAAACTTAAAAAATTATTGTCTACAAAGATCAGTGGCATGTGCTCCCTTCCATAATGGTATCTGAGTTGCTTCTGCTCAGGAGTCAAGTTCTACCCATTGTATAGGGAGACTGAAGTTTGCTATGTTCTTGTTTTAAATTAAATTATTTTGAAAATTTTGCTAGTTTTTCAGCAATAAAAAAGATTAAACAATGTTTTCTGCTTATTTTTATTCTTTTTAATTTCTGAATGCTGGGAAGAGATGTTTTTTTATAAACTTCCAAGAGCTTAGAGTCCTCTAATCCTGTGGAGATTGGAGTCACAGAATTCAACATGTATTTCATGGCTCAGGTTTTAAGCCACTCTCATTACAGAAAAAATGAAGGAAATACTTCAAACATTTCACATATTAAAAAAGAAGTAAGATGTGAAAGTGTTCAGGCTGAGTTATCCTTGGAACATCAGGGAAGCGGGATGGTTTCAGAGGCTTTTAGCATCCTCTGCGTTTTCTCCTACAGACATGAGGCTGTGGAGCCTTCAAAATTTTTTTTAGCAGTCTTCTTGTTCGTCTAAATGTATCCAGATTACAATATTGGTACTATTTACTTTTTGCAATATTTTGAAACATTTTTTTAAGAAACATAACTTGTAATTGCATTCTTTTAAAAATAAACTTAAGTAGCTTCATTGTCCTAGGATTAAATAGTACATAAGCTTGCTATTACTACTTTCAGGTACAAAATCCATTTTAAAAAAGTGAAAGTTATGCATGTGTTATTTCATGTAATTTTTTCCCTGTTGGGTTCTTCATATTTTGTCTTTTCCTGATTCTTTCAGTTCAACGCTAAATTAGCAAGAGTTCAGAATAAAACAACAAAATCATTTTCCGATGCTTCTGTCTTGCCACAAAGTATCTATCGACGGGTATGTGCTTTAATAGCCTGTAGTCCGCAGATGTAAACACTCTTAACAGCCTGTTTCAAACAGCAGTCCCCTGGGGTTTTACTGTTCTGCAGCAAAACTTTGGGGGTGGGGGCGTGGGGGGTGGAGTTTCATGCCTTATGGGTCCATCTTACTCACACTCCCACACATCCCTCCCACCTCCAGACAGCTAATTTCATGTCTTTCTGCACTGATGTTGATGTAGGTAGGGTTCAACCAACAAAAGCCCACATGTGAAGTGGTTTTAGTACAGAATTGCTAACCTGGGAACTTAAGATAGAACTGACATAAATGACTGTGATATAAATTATATATGTGCATTATTGGTTTTGTAGGCTTGAGACTTTGGGATGTCACAGAAATAGGATTCTGGGGAAGTCAGCTTTGTAATTTTGTGATACAACATATTGAGAAAAATATTCTTATTAGAATATTTATCATTAGTAATCGCATATTGTATTGTTACATAATTCTGTGTGACGCTTAACAATGAAGCCTTTGCTTTCATTTTTACAGAAGCTACAGCATCTCCAGGAGGAGAAAAACAAGGAAATTGAAATTCTCCGAAACACCATAAGAGACTTAGAGCAACGTCTTAATAAAGGTCAAGACCTGCACTTCAAACGGAGGCGATTTTGAGTAAATGACATGAAGTATTTCAGTTGTACATAGAATGAGAAGTAGAAACAGTGTATTTCAAACTGCGCAGCTGAAAGTAAAAACAAGATATGAAGAAATATGGAATATTTTTATTGAAAACATTCTTGTCAAATATTCCAAAGGCATGCATTCTGTGTATATTCACGGCTATTTTCTTGCTAATCAGCATTCACAATAAAAAGATTCAGGTTTCGTAGGAGTAATAATTTCCCTATTAAACCATCATTAATTATGGTGTACACTTTCAAAGCAGTTTTCCTTTCTTGAATATTCTCTTCTTCATCCAGGAATCCTTCGAACAACTGTATTTTTACTTCAACTCAGTTAATCAAAGGTTAGGAGTGCTAAACTACAGGCAGAGAAGTTATACAAGTTTAAGTGGTATATTACCTTATTAATCAATACAGATTTATCAAGTTCAGCACTGTTATAAACAAAGATAAACATTAAACCAAGATTAAATTTTTTCTGCCCCTCCCTCTTTTTGATACTGGTTCTGATTCTGCACGAAGAGTTGTTAACACTGCTTCTCACTTTAGGCACTAACTTACTGATTTAGTGGGATTTTACAAACTGTAGTAGTATGTATTAATGGACTCTGATACTGTATCTAAGCCACAAAAGTTAAGCATATAAATCTGTTACTTTAAAATAATGCAATTACTGCTTGTATCTTACATTTGAGATAAAAAGTTATTTTGGCACGTTGCTTAGGAATAAGTTTTTCTTCTACATAGTTTGTATCCCTAGGTTAGGAAAAAAAAAACCACAACCGTTGAATATGTTCCATCTTCTCAGTAAAACATGATTAAAATATCTGGTTTTGGTTATCTTCTATTCTTGATTGCAAAACATCAGACAGGAGCCCCTAGGTCATAGTTTATGCTCCTGTCCTCACAAATGCAAGCAGAATGTTAGAAGAGAAACAAGAAAGACAAATTAATCAAGAATGCAGACACCTTCCCAGTGCAACTGAAAAACAAACTACAGGTCAATTAAATTCCTTTAAATTATGAACCTTTTCACTGATGGAATTTGACAGGTATTGTGTAATTCTAAAAGCACTGCTCTAAAAGTCTACTTCTTTGCAACAGTTTACACACCTGTCTTAGTATAATTTGTAATTGGGGGCAATAAAAACACTTTATCTGTTAATTTTTCCTCTCTCGCAACTATATGAATTTAGACAGTAGGACTCCCTTACATTTTTAAGGTGCTTAGTTTGTTTTTCAAGCTCAGTTTCTTGCCTTTTCCTGTCACTGTCAAGTGTCACTAGTTTCACTTGCTCCTGCTGTTGGTGACTGTCAGTCAGTGAGCAAACGTCACTGTCAAGATTCAGTGATGTCCTCTGCTGACAGCTGGCCATGTCACCTGCAAGAATTTGGAAGTGCTCCACGACACTGTCAAGTGACAGAATTTCCTAGCTCTTCAAACAAAAGGTGTCGACAATGACAGCATCAGCTGCTAGACGCTGAGTCTGATGCTGTCTGCCAACTTCAAGTTAACTGGTTTTTACAGCTGGTTTTCCCTTTTTTTCATAGCTTTTTATCTTGTGTAATTTCCACACTTTCTCCTGGAGGAACAGTGTCTACCTGTTCATGACTACCTGTCTGATCATGTCTGTTACGGCCAAAAACTCTATGACGCCGACCACTGTGAGGATGATGTCTTTGAGTTTCAGAAGGAGCCTGATGGTTCTCATTTTTGGAATGACGACTGCCCTCACGATGGTTGTGGTGTTGTCTATGTCTGTGCAGGTTGTGGTGATGTGAATGTTGACCAGTTGGTTTGGGTTCTATCTCTGCTAGCTTTTCCTCTGCTTTTTTAGTGATGTTTTCACATATACCACCAATATCAGGTTCCTGCAAAACAGAAGCTTGCATTAAATACAAGGCATTGTATTTAATTAAACTAGTTGTAAAATATTAATTATCTCAACATTTTTGCAGAACCTGAAACCCAATTTTAAATTATTTGTGCTACTTTGCTGAAGAAAGATATAAATGTATCAAAAAGAACCTTGTTTTACAGCACCACTGATAACTAGACAGGTCTCTTAATGTAAACTTTTTAAGAATTGTAATTCAAGTAATTGCTGATAAAAAGCATTCTTTTTCTAGGATCTGACATCTGACCTGCCTGAGGCCTACATTTAGCTGGAAAACTGTATGATGGGATCAAAAATGATTCTTTTCATTGAACTTTCATGGCTGTGTATGTACATCTCTTGATAATCCTTAAAGTAGTTCTGATCTTTAGTTATATGTAAAATAAAGCTACCCTTCTTTTGTAACAGTAACAATAATTTGTCACTTTCTATTATAATTTTTTGAAAGTAACTATTGTATATTGTGTTTAAATGTAAACTAAAAGGAACAGTAACTCAAACCAGCTAGGATTTGATTCCCAGGTTTTTAAAAAAATTACTATTTTTTTAAGTACCTACCCATCCCCAAAAACTAGAGTAGCTAAATGCTCACTAGCTGTACGTAACTCCAGAAACAGAATTAGCCTCCAAGATTGCATTTAGTTTTCTGACAATAATTTGCATTTCTATCAAGGGCAAGAATTCAGATAATCAGTCTATTATAAATTAGATCTAATTCACTTTAAAAAATGTTTAAAAGCTCTCTGTAAAAAGACATTAAGTGTGTAAATTCTAAATCATGTCTTTCTGGATCAAGCACACAAATAATTTTTTTAAGTACCAGTCAAATCCAGTTTCCTTTCCTAGTATATATGGAATGAAACAAGAAAATACCATGTAAAAGCAGTTTCCGCACTTGTTTTCACAGTATGCAATCTTAATAGATTCTTCTACATATTGGAAAGACAGGAAGGAATAGGGCAGACCCAGATGATACACTAGACGGCCGCATCTAAGGAGAGAAAGAACTTTGTGGTTACATATACATAAACATATACATAAAATTAAGTATCTCTTCTTATCATACCTTATTTTGTTCACATTAATCCACCCACACTGTACAGGCCTGTGGAGAGTGTTTCTGTCCAAGGAGTTTACGGGCAAAACAATACCGTACAAACGTTTGCCCACTCAACTCCATCGGTCAGTAGTGTGAAGCATGATTTCTGGCTGACATAATAACTCTACTGGCAGAAGTTTCAAGTTTAGTGGCATTTAGACTAGCAAAGGTATACTTATTACAGACCTATCTTGCTAATGAGAAGGGCTGTTTGCATACTGGTACAAATCGCCACATGGTTGTCGCATCCTTACAAAGAATGTTTTTACGCAACATAACATGTATTTTGATTGGAATGTGCATTGCGGTGCATCTGCATTACCGATCTAGCGTGCGTGAGGGGATTTTTATGGTGCCTATTTGCCCCATACTTGAGTGTTCTGGTAGGCACTTGGCTACACAACTAGTACATTCAAAGGAGCTGGAGTAAATGCAGAGCTTGTACACAAGGGCACCTTGTTCAGTCCCCCACCTGCAATGTCAACACACAGTCCTCCAGCCTTAGCTCCCTACACATCTGCAGTGCACGTCTAGGACCAGCAACAGGCAGACTTCATTGCCAATAAAGGCACCATAAGGACATACGTTCCTAGAACCATAACGGATCATGGCCAAACTAGTGCCAAACCAATTCATAGTGCAGGTGTACCCTATGTGTCAACAGCACAAAACCGTTCAACCTTTCAAAGGCCACGGGCCAGGCATCAGCTTTGGGGCCCCTCCACAGACTACATACAGCTTGTTCTGTTTGTCTGTCATATGACAGCAACCTTCCATACTTAGGTGTATTTACTGCTGTAACATGCAATCACTTCCTAAAGATCATTCCAGTGCTAGTTTCATCCCACAAGCCTAATTTAGCTAATTTGTTCAATTTCATCATATTACCAAAAAAAGAAGTTAAGTAACTTTCTAATTCTTTATTAAACTTAACTATGCTTCAGTATGAACTGAGAATGTTTGTTACAGTAACATAGTAGTAATGAGGATGGGCATGTTAGAAGTGCAGGACTTGTAGAATAATTTCCACCACATCAAAACTGAAAAATCAGACTTTCAGTTAAAGAATTATTACTAGTTCTGCCAAAAGATACATGTCCCAGAATCCTATGATCAAAAAGCTGTTTTCTTTCAAAGTTTTAAGTTTCACCTAAAGACTGTTTTTTCCACATGGCCAATTGTATGAGGTTTAACAAGGCC